TTGAACGCACTGTAACAGGATTGAACGCACTGTAACAGGGTTGAACGCAGTGTAACAGGATTGAATGCAGTGTAACAGGATTGAATGCACTGTAAGAGGGTTGAACGCACTGTAACAGGATTGAACGCACTGTAACAGGGTTGAACGCACTGTAACAGGATTGAACGCACTGTAACAGGATTGAACGCACTGTAACAGGATTGAATGCACTGTAAGAGAGTTGAACACAGTGTAAAATTATTGAATGCACTAACAGGGTTGAACACACTAACATGGTTGAATGCACTGTAATATTACTGAACGCACTGTAACAGGGTTGAATGCACTGTAACAGGATTGAACGCACTGTAACAGGATTGAATGCACTGTAAAATTATTGAACGCACTACCAGGGTTGAATGCACTAACATGGTTGAACGCACTGTAATATTATTGAACGCACTGTAGCATTAATGAATGCACTGTAACAGGATTGAATGCACTGTAACATGATTGAACGCACTGTAACAGGATTGAATGCACTGTAACAGGGTTGAATGCACTGTAACATGATTGAACGCACTGTAACAGGATTGAATGCACTGTAACAGGATTGAATGCACTGTAACAGGGTTGAATTATTGACATTTAATCAAGTTAAAATAGACTTTAAATTATTAAAATAAACAAGAGGAAAGAAACATAACACTATAAATGCAATATTTAGCATTGTTTAAAAATAGCATTGCTTTAAGTGCTCRATTTATCAAGACCACAGAAAACTGTTACTAAATACCTGCACAAATTAAAAAATARTCTTTATTAAAAGTGGGCATGCAATTTACTAAGACTGCATGCCCAAAGAATAATAGGTGCAGTGGTGGTGAGGAACACCGTATTGAAATGATGATTTTGTGTGTCACTGATGGAGGCAAAGCAGACACAACAAAATTCAGAGTTACAGGGAGGTTTTTTTTTTAAATAGTACAAGGGTCGGCAACCCGGAGACATATTAATCTTTCTAGCCTGGACAAGTTTTTAAAAGTAGGCTATTTTCTTAATTTATATGTTTTATTACCTTTTTCATTGCAGTAATCTTGAATGTCAATGTGATACTTTAAAATTTACTCAAAATAGGTTTTAATAATTTCTCTAACAAAATCATGCAATGTAGTTCACAGATCTTCTAACTGTCTGCTGCAGTTGTCCAGTGCTCAGGTGAGCAGAGGTGACTGATAAGCTCTCATTTTCATTGTCTTAAAGATTAGAAAACAAAACAGATTCTGTTCTGTTCTGTTCAAATAGACCATTTTGTAGTTTTTTGTGCACATTCACATAGCAAAGCCTAGCTCTTCCGGATCACAGGTCAACCTAAACACTGAGGTTGATATGAAAACATCATTGGAATTGTACAAACTCAACAAGGTCAAAAAGAAAATGTATAGCTTATCTAAGCATAAGTGTAATTACAATGGGGTTTCCATAGCTACCATAGCATTTTTCCCGAAAACATGAGCTCATTTCACGTCATGTCTATGCATTTGTGATGGTTTATTCTGAGAGAGAAAAGAAAGATTTGAGGAAGAACAGAGAATATTTGAAAGAGTGCAGAGGTTTTGAGTTTGAGCATTAAAAGATTTGAGTGCAAAGACATGAACCACTACTGCTAAATTGAAAATATAAGCTCTTGACAWTTGGCAGGATCATTCTTTCATATGAACACCTTAGATCGTATTCATGTGTTAGAACGGTCCAGTCAAAGTCCAGGCCTGAATCCAACTGAGAATCTGGAGCAAGAGATAAAAACTGCTCTTCACAGATGTCCTCCATGCATTTTGACTGAGTTTGAGCTGATTTGAGAATAATTGGCAATAATTTCATTCTCTAAATCAGTGGTGTCCTAGTCTGKTTCTGGAGGGCCACTATCCTGCATGCTTTAGAGGTTTCTCTGCTCCATCCCACCTGATTTGAATGAATATGTGAGGAACAGACTTCTGCAGAACTTGAAGAGGTGTTTCAGTCACTGAGTCAGATGTGTTTGAGCAGAGAAACAAGTAAAACAAAAACAAATCACAGTAAAATACTTTGAAGTTTGTGGCTGTAACTTGGCAWCTTGCAGCTTGATGGATCAGTGGTTAGCACTGACGCCTCACAGAAAGAAGGTCCTGGGTTYGATTCCTGGTTCAAACCTGGGGTCTTTCTGTGTGGAGTTTGCATGTTCACCTCATGCTTGTGTGGGTTTTCTCTGGTACTCCAGTTTCCTCCCACAGCACAAAAATKTTTTCTAATAGGTTGCCTTCAGGCCCAGACCTCCCTTGGAAAAGAGATCTGTGCTCTCAGTGAGACTTGCCTGGTTAAATAAAGGTTAATAAATAACAACAAATAAATGGGGAAAAGTTCAAAGATTAGTATACTTTCAAAGGGCACTGGAAATGTTCTCATTAATTGTAAGAATGGTTCAAACAAAGACTTTTTACTTGTTTTTTAGCAGGCATCAAGGTTTCTTCTGCACAAAAAAATTGAAAGAAAAACCAGTTTAGTTCAGTTTAGCACCAAGTCACAACAAACGTCTCAGGTCTGCATAAAAACATCCACATGCATTATAAATTCCATTGAGGTTGAAGACAAAGGTCGTGAGTCGGCTTGGCCAGCTTCAAATTGTCACCTGTAAGTCAAAGATATACAGTTAATCCTTTTTCTTTAATACTTCAAAAACAAAACAAAACAAAAAAAGGATCTCAAGGGAGGCTGTTTCTGTTGTTTAAGCCTTACATTGCACATTATTTAATAAAGACATCATGGGCATGTTCAGAAAACGATAACAAGCACAAAACACATAATCCACATGCTGGCTGCTCTAAAATACTAATTACTACCAGTGAATGTAGTCCACTAAACTGTGGGCACAGTATACCTCCTTTAGTTTGTTCTTACTACACAGTAACATGTAATATTGATGACATTTATTTTTTGTTCTGATTCAACATCTTTTGTTTTTTTGTGTGTGTGAATCATCAATATGATTTTTATTGTTTATTAGATTTTTTTGTGAAAGTTGTTAAATCAGATGTTTTCATAAGCACAATTCTCCATTAGTCCCAGTTAAAACTGTTTTTACCTGTCTAAACCTTTTTATGATCTAGTAATAAATGATCAGGAACATTTAATATGTTGTAGGATGTAGATCAGGGACAGTGAACAGACAGTAAAGGCTGATTTATAGTTCGAGTCGCACGTCTCGTTCTCCCTGCTGAGTGACAAAAAATTGCGTAACTTCTTTATGCTCTCCTGCTCCTATCCCCCGGTGACAGCTGTTGTGTTCATTGCCCTCAGTCAGAACTCTGCGATGCAGACCTTGAGGCTCAGAGTGTGTGATTGGTTAGAACTTTGTGGGTGTGTTTGTTCATGAGAAGCAAGTGGAGGTCCAGCAGTGGTCCAGTGGCTGAACAGGACCAAAGCAGCTCTTCCTTCTGCAGGTTATTTTGTTTAAAATTATTTTTTTCTCTTAAGCCAGTGGTTAAAAGAGCTAGAAGAGCAGCTGATTTGATCCTATTGAACATGAGCTGATGTTCACATCTTTTTTCCATCACCACTGTTAACAAAAAAAATAATGTTTTTTTCCTCTGTGGACTCTTCAACCAACACAACACTGATTGTTGAGTGAAAAAAACCCCCACAATATCCAGCCATCATTATTGTTGTTTTCCTACCTATATGAGCTGTGGGAGGGCAGAGCGAGGAATTATGATAAATTATGCCCCGCCGCATCTTCGGCTCGTTTATACTCTGTCAGTGAAAAGATGTCTGAAATGACGCAATTACAGACCCGACGTCGTAGGTTGTATAACCCAAACTTAACAGTTATGTTGTAGGATGTAAGTCAGTGACAGTGAACAGACAGTAACAGTTATCATGTAGGATGTAAATGTTTGAAGACACAGCAGAGCAGTTTCTCTCTCCTCTATCTGAAACAAACCTATTTGCTCACTGCTGATTTTGTCTTTTATCATGTCTGCTTGGATCAATGTTCTTGCTGAGTGTGTGCTGACATGATTTTAGTGTAGTTCAATGTGTGTACATRTGTGAGTGTTGGGCCCTCAGCTCTTCATGCCCGTCTCATTTCGACTCTCTGCACCGCCACAACACCTGTAGGTGAATGCTTTWTGTGTTCAGGGGGAGCTCTACTCTTACTGTTTATACACAAATCAAATGGTGCCATTAGCCTTTGTATGAAACTACCTCTGAGGTTAGCCCAGCTTGGTGGAATGGATACTTTTTGGGTACCTGTCACTTTACAYGTACAGCATTTTTATCTTCTTTTACTCTGAAGTAGAATGTTAGGATGGCCCCTCAGAGTCGAGCTCCTGCAACTGTCGAGGCACCTTCATGGTTATGCGTTACATGCCTTCTGTCACTTTTCTTTCAGTCAATGTCAGTCTTGCACCAGTGCACTTTGACTTGCAACATAGTGCATACTGTAGCCAATAGAAGTGAATGTGAATGTTTAGTTTGTCTGTACGTACTTGTAGAGAAGACTTTTTGTGTGCTAAACTGAATCTGACTTTGGTTTTGTATTGTGGCCAAATTTAATCAAAACAAACTTACAAAAAAAATCWAAGGAGTTTATTCAGTGAACTCCATCACAACAGCACGCAGACAGAACTCTCTGGGTTGATTGTATGTTCTCATCAGAAATTTTAACAATGTTTCATCTGACATCTGCTACCTAACCTTCTCTTCAGCGCCTTGTCAAAATGAACATGCCCATTGCTGATGACAACACGGTTCACTTCACCTCCACCCTGATGGCCCTGATTCGTACTGCGCTGGAGATAAAACTGGCTTCAGGTCAGAGAAACACCAAAAACATAATCAAAATGAAGAAAAACATTCAGTACATTCATGACATAATGTGGTTAAATCATGGAGGTTCTATAGAACAGCTGGAGTGCGCAGAAACCACGTGACCGTGTGATCGGCTGATGAAGCTAATGGCTAAAGCAAAACGGTCAAGAGTCTGGATTTCCCATTACTGTACATGTTGACAACAGAGCAGAAAAAAAAGCACTGGCGATGTAGAAATCATAAAAGCTATTAATAATAATAATATTAACACAATTATGATTAATATTTTAC